GTTATTTATCTACAAAAAATTATATCCTTTATATTGAATCAAAATTTCAAATTAATTGACTTGCTTAATTAATGAGTTTTCAATTCAAAACCATAATCTCAAATTGATTTATTTTACGTGAGATATACCGGGAGATAAATTATAAATAGACTCTTAAATATTTTGCTAATTTAATAGGATTAGATTAGATTTTATAGTTTAATGAGCAAATTATTGATATGATTATTTAATGAGTTTTTAAAAAAAAAAAAAAAAAAAAAAAAAAAAAAAAAAAAAATTAAGCGGGTTTGAATTTTGAAGCCACGAGCTATAAATAAGAGAGTTAAATTATGAACAATATTAATTAGAGAAACTAATATCTTGTATATAAATAGAATAATATGTTGTAATTGATAATGCAATTATTGAATTTAAAAATTCTATAATTATTAAAAAAATTATAATTAAATATAATTGAGTTTGATTTAATTTGAAGAAAATTATGTCAGCAATCTAATCTAATGGTAGAAAACATAGGATTAAAATGCAATCAAAGGTTCTGATTGCTTCATTGGTGAATTAAAGGTTCTCTTTTAATAATATTTAGATATTAGAGATGTGTCATATGCTCCAGTTTTTTCTTCTGCCGCATGATATATAAACCAAAACATAAAGCACATAATAAACCACACAAAACCCATTCACTGTAACTTATTGTTTGTTTTTTTTTAATATTTTTTCTTTTGGCTTTTTTTTTTAGATTTTGCTTTTAGTGCTTATTAATTGTTTTTACAAGCAACATTATTCCTAACAAATCTTCTTAAAAATCCAAGAAAAAACTTTTTAAATTTAAAACAACAAACAATTTTTTAAATCTAAACCAACAAACATCATAGTAAACTAAAAAATTTCATAAGGAAAATCTTTAAAGTACAAAGCAACAATTGTTTGTTAGAAAAAACAAAAAGAAAATACAAAACATTTGAAATAACTTTGATTTGATAACCATTATTTACAAAGAAAAAAGATAGAAATAATAAGATATAAAGTTTTATTCGAATGAACCAAAAAAATATTGAATGTCTTCATTTACCATGGTTTAGATGGATATTTTTTCGATTATGACCACTTTGCTTACAAATTCCACAAAGCTTCGTTTTTCTTCCTTCTTTAATATCCATTCCATTTCGAAGTCTTGTTGAGCGCGAACAACCTTTTTTATTCCGTAAAAGCTTAAAATTTGGAAGCAATTCCTTAAACAATGATTGTGGCCAATACGATTCATGAGGAAGTGGAGAAAAAGCAGATGCCCAAGTATCACAATACTTTTCAATTGAGTAACATTTATCAATATATTGTCAAAATCAAATTTATAAAATATTTTTTGAGTTGTTTAAGTTAAACTAAAATTTATATTTAACTTGACCCTGTAATGTTATATTCAAATTAATAATTTAAGTATTTTATACAAATTGTTCCAAAATTATATCTTTAAAATGATAATAGTTTACATCCAACAATAATTAAAACTAATAAATTAAGTATAATATGTTAAAATTTAAAATAAAAAAAATCACTTAATAAGTAGAAGTAAATATATTATTTTAATATGGAAATTTAATTTATATATGATTACACTTTAGATTTGATATTTATTTAACCTTATTAACCAACTTATAATTATTATTATAAAGAAATTAAAAAGTCATAGGAGTTTCAAATGAATATGGTAAAAGGAAAATTGTTTCCTATATATATATATATATATATATATATATATATATATATATATATATATATATGGGTAAAGTGAATATACCTAATAACCTTATATAAGTTTAGGTACCTAACCTCATCAAACTACATCATTTTGCATTAAATTTTCATTGCAATCATCCAAGGTTCTTAAACTTCATCCCTAAACTTGATTTATTTCAAAAAAATTTGGAAATTCATCATTATATTTCTCCTACATCCTTTCATTTGTAGCGGTAGGATATGAAGTCCATTAAGTGGTGTTCGATAGAAATACATGATGTAAAAGAAAGATATTTGTGAAAGTCCAAAGATTTCGGAAGTAATCAAGTTATGGGGTTGAAGTTTAACAACCTTAGGCAATTACAATGTAGATATGATACAAACCGATGTAGAATTATGGAGTTAGGTGCCTAAGCTTATATAAGGTTGTTAGGTATATATATATATATATATATATATATATATATATATATATATATATATATATATATATAGGTTCAGGTTCATGTGAGACGATGCTAATTTCGTGAGACCGTGAGACGCATTTTTTTATTTTTTTTATTTTATTTTTATTTTATTTTTAATTTTTTTTAGTTAATTGAAGTTCCGAAAATAATATTTAAAAAAAGATTTTTTTTATTTTTCCATTTATTTTGCATTTTAAAATTATTTTTAGAATATGTACAGTGTAATATTCTATTTAGAATATTTCACGTATTTTTCAAAAAAATAGGATTTTTTTTATTTTTTTTAGTTAATTCAAGTTCCGAAAATAATATTTAAAAAAAGAATTTTTAGATTTTTCCATTTATTTTGCATTTAAAATTATTTTTTAAAATATGTCAGTGTAATATTTTATTTAGAATATTTCACGTATTTTTGAAAAAAAAAACGGGATTTTTTTTATTTTTTTTAGTTAATTCATGTTCCGAAAATAATATTTAAAAAAAAAAAGAATTTTTGGATTTTTTCATTTATTTTGTATTTTAAAATTATTTTTAGATTTGGTCTCACGGTCTCACAAAATTAGCATGGTCTCAAATAAACCTATATATATATATATATATATATATATATATATATATATATATATATATATATATATATATATCGGACAAAATAATTTTTAAAATTAATCTTTTAATCCATAACAAATAAAAATAAAAGAATAGTGTTGGCTCTCTCTCTCTCTCAATTGATTGTATATTAGATGAAAAACTGCTGGTTGTGAAGAAGGGCGAGTATCAATGGCCACTCTTCTTTCATCTTCTCTCGTCTTCTCCAATCTCTGTCGGCCTTCTCTCTCTCCCTCTATCTCCTCCCTAGCTCTATCCTCCTCATTTTCCTCCTCGTTTTCTCTATCTTCCTCCATCTCTGTCGCTCCTCACACTCTGTCATCTTCATGGAGAAAAAAACCCTCTCTTTCTACCTTCACAGTGAAGGCTATTGCTTCAGAGAAGAAGAAAGTTGTGATTGTTAACACAAATAGCGGTGGGCATGCTGTGATTGGCTTCTATTTCGCTAAGCAGCTTTTGAGTTCCGGGCATGATGTTACCATTGTTACCGTTGGTGATGAGAGCTCTGATAAGATGAAGAAGCCTCCATTCACCAGATTCTCTGTTAATTTTAACTCCATTGTGTTTATTTATATATAAAAAAATTCATCCTTTTGTAGCATTAGTCAATAAAGTGAGAGATATTTATTTACAGGAAATTGTGGATGGTGGTGGTAAGACGGTATGGGGTGATGTTGGTGCAATTGGGACAGTTTTGGAGGGATTGACATTTGATGTTGTTTTGGATAACAATGGCAAAGATTTGGATGCCGTGAGGTTTGTTTTTCCAACATACACAAATAATAATTCAGGCTTAAAGTCAATTAACACAAACTATATGGATTTCCGAGTAAAACATACAACCAATCAATCAAATTCGATTCTACTGGAATTCAATGATGATGGAAATGATTACTTGCAGGCCAGTGGCAGATTGGGCTAAGAGTGCAGGCGTAGGACAGTTTTTGTTCATAAGCAGTGCCGGAATTTATAAGCAAACCGAAGAGCCACCACATGTGGAAGGGGTGGGTACACACATCCTCATTCCTCAACCTTGAATCATTGCATATACTGTTTCGTTTTTAGTTTTTACACAACATGGGTTTTTGTACCCAAAAAAAAAAAAAAAAAAAAGTAGTTTTTGTTCCATTTGTCAGAATAACACATGTTATGCAGAAGTGTTTAGTCTGATAAGTTTATAATGATGAATAAATATTACAGGATGCGGTGAAATCCGATGCCGGTCACGTTTTGGTAGAAAAATACCTGTCGGAGGTTTTCGAAAACTGGGCCAGCTTTCGCCCACAATACATGATTGGTTCCGGCAACAACAAAGACTGTGAAGAGTGGTTCTTTGATCGTAAAACCTCTTACCTTGCCTACTCAGATTTCTGGGCATTTGCGTATTTTGGACAAACAAACCTCTAACCAGAGGTTGAGGGCTAGTCTCGTGTTTGTCCTATTGACATCTGTTTTGTGTTGTCATGTCATGGAATTTCCACAGGTATTGTGAGGGGGAGGCCGATTCCGATTCCAGGGTCGGGAATGCAGCTAACAAACATCTCACACGTAAGGGATTTATCGTCTATGCTAACAAAAGCGGTCGAGAATCCAAGTGCTGCAAGTGGGAATATCTTCAACTGTGTTAGCGATCGAGCCGTGACTCTAGACGGAATGGCTAAACTATGTGCTAAAGCAGCAGGATTGCCTGTTGAGATTGTGCACTACGACCCAAAATCCATTGGGAGTGATGCAAAGAAAGCTTTTCCTTTTCGTAACATGGTAACCATTCCATTTTTTAATGCACAAGGTACAACTCCATTTGTCTAATTCATGATTTACTATTTCTTTTGCAGCATTTTTATGCGGAACCCAGAGCTGCAAAGGACATTTTAGGATGGGAAAGCAGCACCAACTTACCGGAGGATTTGAAAGAGAGATTCCAAGAGTATGTCAAGATTGGGAGAGACAAGAAGACCATCAAATTTGATATCGATGATAAGATATTAGAATCCCTTAAAATCCCGGTTCCTGTCTGATCACCCAAAATTCTAACAGTTTATGTTCAAATTTCCCATTCTTATAAATGTCATCACATTGTTTTTTGTCTAATATTTCATCAGGTCTATGCTTGTATGTGTCAAATTCTACACCCAAAAAAAAAATTCAGCATAACAGTTTTGAACAAAGAAAAGTAAAGGGTAAAACCGCAAAAAACCATTTAATTATTTTTATAATACAGTCATTTTAGCTTTTTGACTTTTGAAAGAAAATCGGTGACCCTGTTTTCTTTTAGCACAACAAGCCTGAACCAATGACTTTAGGATGGGTCTGACAAATTTCATTTCTAGAACAAAATTTCAAATTATAAAACGACAACAAAAGTCACAGTAGAGTTGTAATAATAATAATAATAATACAAGCACCCAACTTTATAGGTTTGAATAATATATAGATAGAAAACATATCATTCATCCTAACTCTTGATTAGATTCTAAATATACTGAATCCGTCTTCTCCTACTCTTCCTGCTTGATTTCAAGATCCTTAAGCTTAGACTGCAACTCATCTTCATTAGCATCATCACCATCTTCATCATCATCATCATCATTATATTCTTCTCCTTCGGGGTCATTTTCGTCCAATGGACCAAGAACACTAGGAAAACTCTTGAATATCTCTTTCACGTTATCAACCCCTTCATCCGATAAAAAGTTACCATTAATGTTCAGTAATTTAAACCCTGGTTTACCCACAACAGCCTGAGACAATGCTCTAGCTCCAACCGTTCTGATTCCGTTTGTGCTCAGGTCAACTTCGGTCAACTGTCCAAACTCTTCTTTAAGCGAGTTAGCAATCACTATCGCACCTTCATCCTTCAATTCATTCTCAGATAAAACCAATTTAATCAAAGTATTTTTCTTTGCGGTTATAACAGCCGCCAAAGCCGAAGCCGATTCCGACGTAATATCGTTTCCGGCCATCTCAAGAACTTCAAGAGGGGAATCGGAATCCTTGATTGCATTCACAAGTGCCAAAGTCCCCTCGTCTTCCAAGTTCAAGTAGCTAAAATACACCTCGGTGAGACTAGTAAACACCGGAATGGCTTTGCTTAATGCGATTCCGGCTTCGATTCCAAACATATTGTCACGAAGATCGATCTTTTTCAGATTGGGACAAGTTCCGAGTGCTTTAGATAATGCAACCCCACCTTCGGAATCAACCCTCGTGGAGGAACACCGGAAGTCCTCCAGAATTGGTGATTCCTTCACAAGTCCGGAAATGGCAATGGCCCCTTCGTCTCCGGTCATGTTGTTATGAAAATGAAGGACTTTGAGTTTATTTGTTGATGGGATTAATTCACATACTGCCTTTGCAGCTTCCTCTGAGATACCATCATTCATCAAATACAACTCTTCAAGGTTACTTTGTGAAGCTAAAAGCTTTTCAAATGCCCTTACACCTTTTTCACCTAAAGCATTATTTGAAAGGTTTAAATACCTAAGATTTGACCCTTCAAGAGCTGAGGCAAAAATGGTCATGACTTCAAGAGCATCAGCTTCTGGCCTCCCGGCGATAAAATCGGATAAGTCAGCTTCAGTCAACTGTTCTTTCAGAGATGACAAAATGGGTCCAGCAATTCGGGCAGCATCCAGACCGAAACTTCTATTGCTAAAACATATCTTTGTGTATTTGTTTCCAGGTTCAGATAAAGGTTTTAGAAGTTCTTGAGCTTCATCTGCCTCAATGAAGGCTCGCTTTCCTCCAGAAATGTCAAAGAAGGTTTCATGGTGTGGTGTAACTGAATCTGGCATGGGTTCAGGTTCTTGATCTGTTTTTGGTTTAGGGCCTCTTTTGACGGCTTCCACCATGAGTTTACTGGATTCTTTAGCATAAGTTTGTACAGCAGATCCTCCATCACCATCGGGTTCCTTTTCAAAGTGTTGGTTTGCAATGGCAAAGGCTGATGCCTCTATTTGCTTTGCCTCTTCTTCTGCTTCTTCCTTGCTTAAAATACCATATTTTCTAGATAGAATAGATGGAGTTGTGAGATTTTTAACTATACGTTGCACAAGAACAAGCCTGGTGCCATGGCTTGGAGGCCACAGTTTAATTGAGCGCAGTTGATTTGGTGCAGTAGACTCCATATCAAACGAACCTGCAACAACACGATAAAATACAGAAGATATAAATCTTGCGCTCGTAGCACGACTTACTTAAGAAAGTTATCACAACTAATATATCACACACCCTAATCTCTAAAATAAAGGAAATGAACTAGCGAAATAGCTTAAATGATAACACTTTCGAACAAACGGTAGCGCTGTAACCTCGATACATAAGCCGTCAATGTCGTTTATCTGAAACAAATGATATATATTTTCTGTAATGCATAAATTCAACATCGATTACATTTACTGATATCTTACGATTAGCTGAACTTTCATCCATTGCATAAAGGATTAAGTTAAGATTCTTCGGTTAGCAACAGATTAAACTAAAACAGCAAAATCAATGGATAAGATAAAAAGAAAAACAAATCCGATACAAAGTGCCCTAGTTTCCAGCGTCAACGGTCGTGTAGTAAAAGGATCCGGTCATTAAATTCATTAAACACAAACAAGATCTGAAAGAAATAAATGCTCTTTTCAGTGTAATAGGGCAAAAGAAATATGAAGAAAAACTTTACCGGTGGTGGTGGTGGTGCTCGTGGATGTGAAAGAGAAACTTTCTCCTGTTGAAAACCGTCCGGAGCGGCTCTTTGCTCCGCCGGCAAAGACGAAAACCCTTTGAAGTATGAAGAGGGCAATTCGAACTGCAAAGTGGGGGACTGTGATTGTTTCCCCCGTGATTATGTTTTTGTATGGAAGAAGGCACGTGGGCCCTAATGGACTTGCAGAAGAAGCGATACGCCGATACGAATACGATTTCTTCTCTAGGCCAGGCTGCTGTCTTACAAGCCCATTTCATTTTTTAGATATGGCCCATGGGCTATCCAACTCAGAAAAACACTCCACTACCACTAGGGTGTTGCTGCTTGTTTTCATTATTTATTAATATAATATTTCTAAAGAAAGTGTTTGTTTATGTAAATTTGATTCCCTTTTTATCCCGGTCCGATTCTAAAGAAAGTGTTTGTTTATGTAAATTTGCCGTAACGGTGAAAGTTCCATGTACTTTTTATGTCCATGGCTCATTTAGCTGGAGTGGTCACCATAACTAGTCACTTCTCTTGGATCCCTTGATACCCATGTTTTGTCCCCTGCTACGCATACACTTTAAGCATCTATTTGAGATAAGGGTATTTTGGGAAAATCATAAATAAGGAGCATCTTATTTGTAGATGGGTAATTTAGGTATTTTACTTATTAAGTTTGTTATGCCAAAGTATTATAAGAGGATGGTTGGAAGGTTTTGTCAAATTCTGGTCTTAGAACCCTTGGGAGAGGTTAAGGCTCTCGAATCTCTAGCAAAATATTCGAGTGTTTTAATTCAATACGGAGAAGCTTTTGTCATGGTTCTTGTTTATTGAGTTTATTGAGATATCGATTCATATCATCATCCTCATTCAGAGATAAGGTTTGGACTTTGGAGCACGCGCATGCCTCCTTGTCTCTTTATAGTTTATTCTCTCTCATTGTCCCCTCTTTGACTCATAACCTGGCCTATAAATAAAAAAACACATCTCCGCCATTAGGAGGGACATCATATTCGTCCATACTCAACTCTCCCTCCCACATACACTTATCAAGATGGTTCGCTTTAGTCTGGAGAAACCATCTTCGTTTATGTACTGTACATATCTGATTTAATCGTCAAAGTCTGCTCTTAAAAGGCAACATCGGTCAATACTTTTACGGCTAATTTTTGGGAGTACAACAGTAATAAAATATGGAAATCAAACTCTAAAATCTTTTTGAATTTTGACATCACGGAGAAACAAAGATGCAATCTTTTGCCGAATAAAATGCAACTAATATTCATTATTAGTTATATTAACTAAACAATAATATATAACATAATGGTTGATAAATAGATCAAACCATCTTGATACAACAGCTACAAACAATTTTCTAAATGGTTCGATAAGTGTTCTGGTTTCACCTGTTAAAAAAAAAAAAAAAAAAAATCATTCGATATGTATTCCAATAGTGGTATGATAACTGGAGTCATTACTGTTCTTCGACCAGTTGTCTTTGATTAATCCGCATGCACCGTTGATCACATGCAATGGCCGTTGTACCTGAACCTCCTCCTCGCCTGGAGCTGGAGCCACATTCATCAACGCCGAACAATACCTTCCAAATGTAGAAATGTCAACATACAGTCGAAAATCAATTCCAAACAGAAATTTCATCTCCAGTCTGTTCAATTCTGCTGTTGTAACTCCTCCCACTTTCGCATAATACGCATTATTAAAAAATCTGTAATAATTGGATTATTAAGAAGGTCGATTAGGGATTTGGGAAGAAGAATTAAGAAGATCGATTAGGGACTTACGCTTCATCAATGAACTTTGTAGCTACCAATATGCTTGTGATCAAAAGACGATGAACATTAAGAGACGTCAAAATGATATTTTGAGATTGGATGAATCTATCCATGTATATATGTGCAACAATGAAGCAAGAAGGACTGCAGCGAGAGTATTTAAAGATGCGATCCATGTATTGTTGAATGGTGAGTGTAGGTGCTCTTGAGCCATGAAAAACTGTAATATCAATGTCTTTTTTAGTACTTTGCCCGTTCTTTTCAACCGATTTCTCAAGACATGAAGAAACAAGGGATACAACTTTTGGGTTTCCATATTTTTGTTTGAGGCCTAAAAAATGGCAGACTTTTGAGCCAATGATGTCGTTTTCAAGTGTTAAAGCTGCTTCCTGCATTTATGAAAGCGAAATCTGTTACCATATATGGAAGAAAAATTAAAGCCTTCTAAAAGAGCCGAGGGAAATTCGTTTATGACAACAAAGCAATGTCATGTCAAGAAACGATTTCATATTTAGAAGAAAAAACAAGATTAGCTTGACCCATATATGTTGTAACAAACCATAAACTGATGATTAAAAGCAAAACACACAATTAAAATTGCATAAAAATTCGGCAATGTGTTGCAAAAAACATATAGAAAGGAAGACGAGAGATAATCGTGACCATTTAAGCAAGTAAATAAGTAATTTTACTCGTAGTCTTGGATTATAAGATTCGTTGCAACTACTATGACTATTGAGACTTAATACCAACCAATCATCTAACCCTAATGGAAGGAGGTAGGTTACTCAACACAATTAAAGTCACAATGATCATCAAATAAAAACACATCCAAACACCACTAAATGAACCCAGATTGATTAAAAAAGCAAAACCCACATAGATATTTATAAACGTCAACATGTTACAAGAAATACCCAAAAATGAAAAACAAGAGAGAAATCAAAGAACATACAGAGGAGGTCCTTGAAGCATCCATGGTTACCACGCCCACTAACCAAAAGTCAAATCATCGATCACCTATACATCTTGATGTTCCATGTATGATGATGATGCATATGAGTAATCCTTTACTTGAAGCAAGCATAAGCATAAACCCCTTTTATCTTCTTATAATAAGTTTGGTCACTTTCTCTTTCTCCCTCGAGATTGGCTGTCTAATTTTAGGTCAATTCACGTTGAAAAAAAGGTTTTCTTTTTTATTGATTGAATGATTTGTTGGTTTGCAATAATGGAATAGAATGGAGTTGCATTTTGGTGAATCAAGGAACATGAAAGCCGGTGGGTGTCGGTGGCCTTTATATTTTATAGGGTGAATTACAAAAATGGTCCATGTGGTAAATAAGATATATATATATATATATATATATATATATATATATATATATATATATATATATATATATATATATATATATATATATAAAAGTAGAATTTTACCACGTGTCATTCTCCAAGCCCCTCTCCAATCGATTTTTCCCGCTCAAAATACAAATGTGATTTTCCCAAGTGCCCTCTGCTTCAACTATAATATATTGACGTTTGAATTGATATACGAAATTATCGGCAATCAGTTTCGAATTCGATTGCAAGATATCAGGAATTTCATAGCAACAAATAAGGAATCTTAATCACCAATTCTTAAAGGTAGATTTTCTATTAAATCCTAATTCTTTTTCTCGCTGTTTTCTTTCAATGAATTCAAACTTTCAAATCAATAGCCTCAGATGGATGATTTTATCGACTTTAGGACTAGATGTTTAGGAATCATTAATGCAGCAATAACCGTAGCTTCAATGGATTATTCCGGCAAGCTCAATCATCGTAGAGATAGAATTGTCGAGCGATTTAACAACAATGGAAGAAAAAAAAATTAGTACTGGATGTTTAGGAATCAGTGGGTAAGCTTCCTCTGGTTGGCCTTATAAGGTTGGTTTTAATCACGTCCATATAACACTTCAATGGAAGAAAAAAAATTAAAAGAAAAAAAAGAGGCTCTAAATAAAAATGGTTTCGTTTCGTTCTTTATCCTAATTTTCATTTCTTATCTGTTAAAAAATATTCCTTCAATGCTGATTTTTCGTTTGCAATTCTCCTTAATGTTGTTTAAAAAAAATTGATAAGCAAGGAAAGATTTGAGTATCTAATTTCTTTTAAGAACAATTATCCAAAAAAAAATTGTGAATGAAGATAAAATTTACCCAAATCTACTTTCATAGATCAGAAAGACACTTTTGAAGTTGTTTTCTAGCTTCTTGTATTATTCTTGTATAGTTTATAAATATGTTATCCGTTGCTATATAATTACAATTTTTTGTTTTTTCAGCAAGTGTCTTGGTTGTGTATATGTTCAGAGGGAGTCAAAATCATCGAATACAAAGGGCGTTTCAGGTATATCTAAATGTTTGATGTTTCTTTGTTACTTGACATCTGTGGTGAACGAGAGAATTCAGGAAGCCCATGAAAATAAATCTGCACCTATGATGATGCTTTTTCCAGATTATTATTTTATATATGTCATTATTGTTTCTTATTTTCAAATTTATATCAAGTAAAAGATGTATAATTTCTTCTGTATATTTGAAGAGTGTAGGATTTTTTATTCGTATATTAGCTGCAAATTATTAATTTTTGACCCCACCTACCTGTATATAATTTAGTTTATTTATCTTTGTTTTTGTTTATACAAAGGGACAACTACAAATGGGGATTATATACTTCCATTTAAAAATAGTGCATTTTTGGCAAAAGCTCATGCTCTTCCTGTTATTTTGAAATATCCTTATGAATGATTTAGCCCTCTATGGGATTCCATATCTGGGGTGAGTGTTTAAACTTAAATGCTGATCTGTCTTCTAAAAGGGCGTTTTGGTCCGCAAAATGTTTTGGAAGGAATTGAAATTGGGTGTGTGTTTGGTTTGAGATTGAATTCAAGATTCCATTCCATGGTTTCCAATTGGACAAAATTCAATTCCATCGGAATCCTTGCAATATACCTTTTTTATATATTAAATTACCAAAATACCCTTGTAAGTAGAAGAAGTTTGCTTTTGCAATTCTAGGGTTAAAATGGTGTATTTGATTAGTTTTAACAATGAGAAAATGCATGGAATAAGGTGAGCATATCCTATTTTAAAATTCAAAATAATTTATACTAAAAAAATCCCTTTAAATAAGGTGAGCATATCTCTTTTTAAAATTCACAACCGTAATATTAAGAAGTTTATATATTTTTGATCGGTTTTCTTGGATAAATATTCTTACATTTCTCCATATCATCTTCACACTTCCATGCTTTCACAGACCCATTGCAGGAGCAGAGAAAAAAAAAACGTTCTATTAGCAATCCCTTTAATACCTGTAAGTTAAAAATCTTTCAATAAACAATCGTTAAAAATGTCAAAATCGTCATCTTAATATAATAACATCCTACTTTTCGTGTATCTTATACTTATTAGTTCATATATGTGTTTCAAAAATTTATGTGCTGTGTATGTGTTTTTTTACTCTATTCTTCTTTGTTTACAGGTTATTTCTTTATCTCATCAAAGGTAAGAACTTTTATTAACATATTAATGGATTTGAAAAAAGTTTTGGATTTGGATGAAAATGCTTTTTTTGGAGACTTTCTAAAGTACAATCGGATATGGGCTAAATAATGTAACACAATTAAAATTGAAACATATATTGTTTATCTTATACTCATTTAACTTTGTGTGTGTATGTGCTTTCTTTACTCTATTCTTCTTTGTTTACAGGTTCTTTCTTTATATTGTTTAAAGTACCAATAATATCAATAAAATACATAACTTTTCTGTATACAAAAACTATTTTTATTTTTCTGCTTAATCTGTTACACTGTTTTTTTTTTTTTTTTTTTTTTGCTTATTTTGTTACACAAAGTTTATAATTTAACACTTTACTGTTTGACTATAATGTAACCATGTTAAGATTTATGTCTTTGCCCCTATTACAGATTCATGGCTGTTTTGACAAATTTTTCTAACTTATGGGGCTGTTTTGTCTAACCACATACCTATTTTGCATAATTACACAAAAAGGTAAAAGGTTTTCTTGTACTTAACTAAGAACAAATAGTAATATACATTCAATTGTTTATCTCTAATAGTGTTGTACTTAACTTTTTTGTATACAAAAAACTGTTTTTCATTTTCTGCTTATTTTGTTACACTGTTTACGTTTTATGCCTATTCAGTTACACAAACTATTTAGACTTAAACCTTTGGTGGATCTTCATTGTTTCAATATTATGTTAATTGGATTTAATCCCTTATGTTTCTTCAAAACAAAGATATCCATCTCAAACTAAGAACAAATAGCAATGTACTTTCATTTAACAAAAATTTTACATTTTTAAATTAATAAAGTACCATATTATTTCTGTTGTCACAGTTGTACAATATAAAAAAATATATATAATTTTTTTAACGTTACGTTTTTTAAAAACGTCAGATACTTAATAATTTACTTTTTTGATAAAAAAAATATATATGTATAAACAAAATTTTATTTTATATGTATATTTTAATACAAAGTTTCATAACCAAAAATGTTATTACTATTATGTTAATCTTTGACAAACATATTTAAAAAAGTAGATATATTTTTTAAATAATAATAAATAAAACAAAATTGTTTAATCCTTGAATGATTTTTTTATACGACACTTTATTCATCTTTACTTCCATGCCAAGTTGCAATTGTATAATACTATAATTTGATCCGTGGGTTAAGATTACCCATACGGAAATCGTATAGTTTCAATTTAGAAACAAAAGTAAAATAAAATATAATATTAAATTATAATATAGATATATATTCTCAATGTATGATACAATTCATTTGTAGGACAAAATTGGAAATGCATTAATATGAGTATAGGTTATTTTGTTTAATGCTTTTTTTTCCCCGAAAATTTTACCACATTAAATCATTTATTTTTTTAATATTTAATACATAAACTTATTCTCTTGTTATCATCGAAATTATCATGTATCCTTACAATATAAATACAATTGATATATTCTTGAAAAAAATAACTATTGTGGTTTAAAATTATAGTACAACACATCTGTTCAAAATACAAAGATTATGAATTTATTATTGTTATCTTTTATGCAGCTTAGTTTATAAACTAATTATTGTTATACATTTACCTTGCAGACATATAATGCATTCATTTAAGTCTAAAAATAATGCAAAATTAAATAGTTTCTATTTAATACAAGTAACATTAATTTGCATACTACATTAAACCATTAATCTTCAAGCATTACAACTGTTAAAATTTCTGCTTACAAAGGTATTTTCTTTTTAAATGTTATCTTTTAAATGATATTACAATTTATAAATTTTCTAAATTAATGATATATTACTTTATTACATAATTAAATAAATTTTTTTAATTCTATTTATTATTAACATCCATGAATTCCACGGGTTTTCACTTAGTGTATATATATATATCGTGATTAAATAATGTATAAAATATATATGGATTGAGAAGCGGATTTACCGTGACGTTAATGTGTGCACGTTAAGTTTTTACCAGAAGAGTGTTCCGTTAGAGTAATTAGTTAGGGATCTAAGTCCCCTGTCGACTCTTTTATAGCAAATTAGCAATAAGGGCATTAATCATGTTCGGAAATACACATTGTTTCTGTTCAAGAACTATAGCTGTGATGCATGATTCATTTCCCTTGAAAAAGACAACATAAACTGATTACTTTTTGTACATTTTCCCTTGAAAAAAACAAACCTAAATCTAAACCATATCTCTCAAATTTCATTTCAGTGGTTTGCCAAGTATCTTCATAAAGTAATCACACATGTCTGGCAATATCCGCTTCATCAAACCACCATACCTGAAATTGAAATTTCCATTGTAAGTTTTTAACTAACCATCGCAAGTATTATTTATTTTTATTTTTTAAATGTTAAATTGGTTAATTACTATATGTTACCATGGTTTTGAATTTAATTTGTCAAAGTGTTCCAAAATAAACAGAATGCAAGCATCCTTTAAGGAGACGGCATTGAAGGCCTCTGATAAGTCATACATAAATGCCACTTTGTCAACCGTAATATCCTAATTAACCAAGGATACAGAAACAACATGTTAGCCAACAAAATCCATAACTGATGGATAGTGATATGAAAAGGTTACCTGTGCAATGGTGTATTCACAAAGACGCTTGAGCCCATCTAGAAGATATTGGTCGGCAGCTCTAAGGAGATCC